TCTACTTTAACAATTTAAATATGCACTACACATCATCCAGAGTTTTGTCCTTGATGCTTAAGTGCTCAGACATAAAGCTATTGAAAATATTATTGATAAAAAGATGTAGTTTTATTTATTTTGCTACAGAGCATTTGATGCTTGTAAGCTTAAGTCCCTTGAACCTTTGAAAACATGGTTCAGTTTTTCCTTCATTTGGAAAGCCAGATTTAGTTAGGAGTAATAAAACAATAAACTTGAATATAAATCATATTGGAATTGAACCCAAATTATTAAATATTACATTTGATAAATGAATTTGTGTCAGAAATGTTTTTAAAATTTTGAATAGAAAGTGTGATAAAGCTTAAACTTGAGAAATACACATGCTTTTATGACAAATCATTTTCTGATTATTTAAAGTTTCAATTTTGCAGTGTTATATAGTAGACTTCAATACAAGTTGGTTGTGTTTAAAATGTGAATACTAACATATCAGAGAAAAAATGTTAATAATAAAAAATACAAAACAAAGCGTGATTAGAATGATGGTCGTTGGAGACCTTCGAGTTTTTTTTTGTTGTTGTTGTTGTTTTAGTTAAAAATAATTAAATGAGAGAAACACAACAAAGGAGATGCAGCATAGAGTAATTTGTTGCGAAGGAGGAAGACTATTTTAAAAGTTAGGTGCAGAATAGCCAGTACATTCTGAGAGAAAAAGGATTCATGGCAGACGGTTTATAAGAATGAGACAGCAGATGTGTGGTATTATTTCTGAGGGCTCTGTTATGTTCCATTGGTCTATATCTCTGTTTTGGTACCAGTACCATGCTGTTTTGGTTACTGTAGCCTTATAGTATAGTTTGAAGTCAGGTAGCATGATGCCTCCAGCTTTGTTCTTTTGGCTTAGGATTGTCTTGGCAATGCAGGCTCTTTTTTGGTTCCATATGAACTTTAAAGTAGTTTTTTCCAATTCTGTGAAGAAAGTCATTGGTAGCTTGATGGGGATGGCACGGAATCTATAAATTACTTTGGGCAGTATGGTCATTTTCATGACATTGATTCTTCGTATCGTGAAAACATAGAATGTTTTTCCATTTGTTTGTGTCCTCTTTTAATTTGTTAAGCAATGGTTTGTAGTTCTCCTTGAAGAGGTCCTTCACATCCCTTATAAGTTGAATTCCTAGGTATTTTATTCTCTTTGAGGCAATTGTGAATGGGAGTTCACTCATGATTTGGCTCTCTGTTTGTCTGTTATAGTGTATAGGAATTCTTGTGATTTTTGCACACTGATTTTGTATCCTGAGACTTTGCTGAAGTTACTTATCAGCTTAAGGAGATTTTGGGCTACTACCATCTGATCTTTGACAAACCTGATAAAAACAAGCAATGGGGAAAGGATTCCCTATTTAATCAATGGTGCTGGGAAAACTGGCTAGCCATATGTAGAAAGCCGAAACTTGAGCCCTTCCTTACACCTTATACAAAAATTAATTCAAGATGGAGTAAAGACTTAAATGTTAAACTTAAAACCATAAAAACCCTAGAAGAAAACCTAGGCAATACCATTCAGGACATAGGCATGGGCAAAGACTTCATGACTAAAACACCAAAAGCAATGGCAACAAAAGCCAAAATTGACAAACGGGACCTAATTAAACTAAAGAGCTTCTGCACAGTGAAAGAAACTACCATCTGAGTGAACAGGCAACCTACAAAATGGGAGAAAATTTTTACAATCAACCCATCTGGCAAAGGGCTAATATCCAGAATCTACAAAGAACTTAAACAAGTTTACAAGAAAAAAATGAAACAACCCCATCAAAAAGTGGGCAAAGAATATGAACAGACACTTCTCAAAAGAAGACATTTATGCAGCCAACAGACACATGAAAAAATGCTCATCATCACTGGTCATCAGAGAAATGCAAATCAAAACCACAACCAGATACCATCTCACACCAGTTAGAATAGGATCATTAAAAAGTCAGGAAACAATAGGTGCTGGAGAGGATGTGGAGAAATAGGAACACTTTTACACTGTTGGTGGGACTGTAAACTAGTTCAACCATTGTGGAAGACAGTGTGGTGATTCCTCAAGGATCTAGAACTAGAAATACCATTTGACCTGGTCATCCCATTACTGGGTATATACCCAAAGGATTATAAATCATGCTGCTATAAAGACACATGCACATGTATGTTTATTGTGGCACTATTCACAATAGCAAAGACTTGGAACCAACCCAAATGTCCATCAATGACAGACTGGATTAAGAAAATGTGGCACATATACACCATGGAATACTATGCAGCCATAAAAATGGATGAGTTCTTATCCTTTGTAGGGACATGGGTGAAGCTGGAAGCCATCATTCTGAGCAAACTATGGCAAGGACAGAAAACCAAACACCGCAAGTTCTCACTCACAGGTGGAACTGAACAATGAGAACATTTGGACATAGGGTGGGGAACATCACACATTGGGGCCTGTCGTGGGGTGTGGGGACGGGGGAGGGATAGCATTAGGAGATATACCTAATGTAAATGATGCATTAACGGGTGCAACACACCAACATGGCACATGTGTACATATGTAACCTGCATGTTGTGTACATGTACCCTAGAACTTAAAGTATAATAAAAAAATAAATTATGGTAATGTTCACACAAAAAAGAATGAGACAGCAAAAATTGTAACTAGGGAGACTCCATGGGAGTCTTATATAATTATTAGGAGATGGGAAGAGGTGTTACTAGTAAGCATGTTCTGGGTTGTCCTCTTGGTGCACATACATAGTGGGTGTACATGCTTGTTCATATGTCGTATGCCTCATTAGCATCTTAAATCTCCACCCATGAGTGTGTTTTACACTATTATAATAAGTAAATGGTCAGTATGTTGACAGGTAAAATCAAAGTTTGCATGCTCTCTACAGGGAAAATTTCCTACTGGGGGTAGCTTTGCTTAAATCAGCTGGAATACAATGCAAATACTTTGGCTTATTGTGTTGATGATATGCAGTCACCATGCAATCACCATGGTTGCTGCATCCTGAGGATGTGGTGACTTTCTTGACCACCTATCCTGCCTCAATAGTACTTGTCTTGATTTATTTCCAACGATCAACTCTGGACTAATACTAAACTGTTTCATCAATATTGTCAGCAGTGGGAAAATCAAAATTCTTTAACATATTTGAGCTTGATTAGTGTCATTAGCTCTATCCCCAGAATAAATTATTTTACAACCTTAGAGCTTCAATATTTATTATTAATCAAAGTACTATTTCCTCCAGGGCTGATTTAATTCATACATGGTGACTATAAGTATTTTTCACTGAATGTCTTTTCTAAATATATTATAGTAATTATTTAAGAATAAAAATAAAACCACTCATGTTTCAAATATATTATATCAATGCGTTATATTTTGTCATATTTAATGTATTTATAATTTCTAAAATATGCCAAAATAAGAATTTTATTATTTTTTTCCAGAATAACAGACTAAGGGTTTCTAAATCATGATTTTGCTTACTTTTGCATATGGTTTTGACTGCTACCATTGAATTTAGGTTGAATTTTAAATGCACTGTTTAGCTTGTGTGGTTTTTGGTTCATTTGTGAAAGCAAATACAATAGACTTCGACTAACTTGGCTTCATTTCTTCTCTCTTGCTCTTATTACATCTCGGGCTTTAAAAATGACTAGGATTCAAATAAGGTTGGTTTTGAATCAAGCAACAGAAAAATCCCAGAAAAGACTGAGGGAAATAGCTACTGGACATTGCCTTTCAGTGAGATTTATGCATGAAACAGAGTTCAATGAAATTCATATTATTCCAAGTTTGTTAAATTTAGAAACTGACTACTTACAACATATTAGGACACTTGTCTTAGTTTGTCTATGACACCCCTAGCTTGGGGAACTGGACATTACAGAAAAGGATATTGCTACTATAATAAGATTGGGAATAAATACTTACATGTTTGTAAACATTTCTCTTAATAATCCTTAGATACGTGTCATTCTTGCTCAGTCATGTTGGCACAACTGTTTATGATTCCAGAGACTCCTTCCCACCAAATTCAAGCCATGGTGTTTTCAGCTTTTCATGTTTGTTTGTTTGTTTTTTCTTTTACCCAGTATGCTTCACAGGTGACATCATTATGTTGGGGTTCCCCAGGCAATCCCTGAGCCTTAGGCCGAGGCGGGCGGATCAGGAGGTCAGGAGATGGAGACCATCCTGGCAAACACGGTGAAACCCCATCTCTACTAAAAATACATTAAAAAAAAAAAAATTAGCCGGTCGTGGTGGCACGCGCCTATAGTCCAGCTACTTGGAAAGCAAGGGAATCACTTGAACCCAGCAGACAGAGGTTGCAGTGAGTAGAGATTGCGCCACTGCATTCCAGCCTGGGTGACAGAGCGAAACTCCGTCTCAAAAACAAACACACACACACACACACAAAACAACAACAACAACAAAAAAAAAAACAAAAAAATTAACCAAACAAACATCAAAAATTTAATAGGCCAGTGGGATTTCAAGAAAATAGATTCGTTATCCATTATCAATCAATATTAGCTAAAACTAGAAAATTTTAAACACACCATACACAAAATCAGTCAACTAGCTCCAGACTTAATCTGATTAAAACAAAACTTCTCAGTACTTGAAAACACCAAATTATTGATTAAAAATATTCATTATTGATTAAAAATATTCATTTCTGTGTAACTGCACTGTGCTGTGGTGCACAAATACAACAAATTTTCTTCCTTCTAAATGCGACCATTCTTGGCTTTGTGTTCACCTAGGCACTGCAAACTCAACTGGCTTTAGTCATGCTAATATATTTAAGTTCATATATCAATTGAGAAAACAAAGGGACCTCAAGTTTTTGATTCAACTATTATGGTGTTCTCAATGTGGTGTAATTTTGTATATTACATTTATAAAATATTTTCACCTGAATTTAATAATTGGAATTTTTAAAACTTTTGGTATCTTTCAGATATGTTTTCTCATGATACTCAAGGCCTCTTGAGAAAAAAGCGCATAGAAGCATCATTCCAAAAATTGATATTGGATAGATATGGGAGCTGTGGCCCTCAGAATTTACATTTAAGAGTGGGAAAGTGAGAGTAAGTATGGCAGTCACAACGGATGTTGTGATGGACATACAAAATGTAGCACAACTACCTGTAACAAAAACGTCACTGCTGTAAGAGGTCAAAAACAAAAAACTCCATCTATGTCAGTTGCTTTTTCTAATCCATGTGTTTCTGCAACTAAATGTCAACATCAATTTTTGAAACATACCTTTTCTTTGAAAGAAAATTTGGAAAATCTGAATAGTGACTTAGTCCACGTTTCAAATAATCTTATAAACCAGTTAAAACATAGAATTGGAGTAAATGTTCAGTCAAATATTTCTGAAAAGAAAAGATTTAAAAATGAAGAGGTGATTTCTAAATATGATCAATTTGATGGGTCCTTTGTTAAAAGTTTGTTTTACCAACAAATAACACCTCATTCTGCTTGCGATCGATATAGAAAGGTCTTCATTCATTCATCATTGATTAATCAAGTCAGGAAATAGATAATTTGGGAAAACATCACACATATGATAAAATTTTGACAGCCTTTAGGCAGGTCTCTACCAGTATATTTGTATTGCAGAGAAAAATCAGTACAATAAATCTGATACAACATTAAGCCAAGGCATAAGCCCCAGAAGACGTCAGAAAACTCATTTTCTACAGAACCATTACAAATGTAAAAAATGTGAGAAAGTCTTTCATGAATGCACCAACCATATCCATCGGAGTATCCATATTCAAGAGAAGTCTGCCAAATGTAACAAGTGTGTAGAAACTTTTATGCAGTCATCAAAACATACTCAGCCTCAGAAAATCCATGTTGGAGAAAAGTCACACAGATATAATAATGGTGAGAAAATCCTTAGTAAATTGTCAAGTCTAAGAGACTATAAGATAATCCATAATGAAGAGAAACCTTACAAATGTAAAGAATGTGACAAAGCCTTTAACCATCGTTCACACCTTACTCAACATCAAATAATTCATACTGGAGAGAAACCATACAAATGTAAAGAATGTGACAAAGCCTTCAATTCTAGTTCACATTTTACTGTACATCAGAGAATTCACACTGGAGAAAAACTTTACAAATGTAAAGCAGGTACCAAATATTTTACTTATTCTTCAAATCTTGTGCATCAGAGAATTCATATTGGAGAGAAACCTTACAAATGTAAAGAATGTGGTAAATCATTTAAAGTGTCTTCAGCCCTTACTCAGCACAAGAGAATTCATATGGGAAAGAAGCCCTACAAATGTAAGGAATGCAGCAAAGCCTTTAACTGTAGGTCGTACCTAACTAAACATCAGAGAATTCATACCAGAGAAAAACTTACACATGTAAATCATGTAGCAAATCTTTTTCTTGTCCCTCAAGTCTTATTATCCACCAGAAAATTCATACTGGAGAAAAACCCTGTAAATGCAAAGAATGTGGGAAAGCCAGCCTTTAATTATAGTTCACGCCTTACTTGACATCGAAGCATTCATACTGGAGAGAAACCCTACAAATGTAAGGAATGCAGCAAAGCCTTTAACATAGGTCATGCCTAATTAACATCAGAGAATTCATACCAGAGAAAAACTTGACAAATGTAAATCTTTTTCCCATTCCTCAAGTCTTTTTGTCCACCAGAGAATTCATACTGGGGAAAAACCCTATAAATGCAAAGAATGTGGCAAAGCCTTTAATTATAGTTCACGCCTTACTCAACATAAAATAATTCATACTAGAGACAAACCCCACATATGTAAAGAATGTGGCAAGTTATTTAATCAATGCTCAACCCTTTCTCCACATAAGATAATTCATACTAGAGAATATCTATAGTTGTGGTAAATGTGGAAAGAGTTTTATCCAAAATTTAGAACTTAAAAATCGCCATAGAGTTTATAGGGAAACAGACATTGCAGACTGAATAAATGGGAGGAAGTATTTAATCAACACTCAAGTCTGAATGTGTCAGGACTTACACAAAAAGGGACTAAAGCACAGATCCCAGACTTTACATTAAATAAGAATATTTATTATGGAGGATTACTCTAAAGTCAAAGCAGTTATTTATTTTGTTATGTGTTTCAAATGAGCAAAAACATTGATGTTTGGACAAGTAATTATTCAGTGAGCACTTTTTTTAGTAGAGACAGGGTTTCACCATGTTGGCTAGGCTGATCTCGAACTCCTGACCTCGTGATCCCCCTGCCTCGGCCTCCCAAATTGCTGGGATTACAGGTGTGAGCCACCGCACCTGGCTATCACAGCTAGTTTTAAGAAAATAAATGCTTCAAAGTCAAATCGAACTTATTTATTTAATTTAAAAACTGCAAATGTAGTGGTGAATGACATGAAAGGTCTCTGCTTTCACAGAGTTTACACTGTAAGGTTTGAAAAATAAAAACAATTAGAAAATAAATTATTACTCATATAATGCTGGTGGTATAATTTGGCATGACATTCTGGAAGAGGGCTTGCCAAGGTCAAGGCCTACACAAGCTGAAGATACAAGTATATGTTAATTATATTTGTGGTTATATATCTACATAATTATATAATTGAGGGTGAAGCTGCCCAAACTCCTCAAAGCAGGACAGCAAAGCAACCACCAGAGATGGACAAGACAAATGAAAAGTGAAAGAAAATTAGTAGAAATCAAAGACAGATGCTAAAGCAGTGCAAAATGCTTCATGCCACGACAGAAATGGAGTTGATGATGGAGTCTGGAAAATGAATCCTAATCACAGAAAGGTCAGCAGTGAACGTGCTAAAGTGCTCACAATTCTGGTCCACTGGATCCCACCATCCCTAGGACAGTAAATACCATCACAGTCACCACCCAGCAAGTTACCACCACATCATCTCCTGTTTGTTCCAAAATGAATAAAGTTGATTCTGAACACAAGTGCAAATGAAAAAGTCATTAGTCATTTTTTTCAACTAAACTGTCATGGTTTAGTTTACATTTTTTAAAGTTTTATATTTTGAAAATGCAGTTAACAGCTGTATGGCTCGTGAAGTTTTTGACACTTGAATTTTTAAAATGCAGTATATTTTAAATTAACAAGAGTAAACTATGTATTTGGTTTATGTATTTAAGGTGCAGACTCACAAATAATGCTCTTGTTTATGATTCAAAAACTTCAAAGTTCAGTTTTCAATCTGTACATACACAGAACAGTGTATCATGCTACAACATTTGTTTTTTAAAGTGGCCACCACAGTTCCTGCCTGTCTGGATATATTTTGAACTGTTGTATGTTAAATATGACATTAAAAAGACACATTATTATGTTTTAGGTAATCTCAGATTGGTGTACACAAACCAACTTTACAAATTACTGTAGGGTTGAGCAAACTATGTATATAATATGACATTAATATCTCTTTTTTGATGTCTAAATCTTTTTTAGAAAAGACTAGTTTCTATAAAATAGCTCCAAAATTTAAGTCTTATTTTATAAAATGGCAAAATAGTAAAAAAAAATATGGGTGGTTTTCTATGCTACATGAATACTGGCACTCAATTAAAATACCAAATAATATAACCAAAATCATTTAGACAGTGGATTTAAATAATTGCTTACTTTTAACTACAGTGATACATGTTCACTAATATTTTATGAATCAAACCTATTAGTATTAGGTTTTACTTAGTAGTAATATATACATTTGATCAAAATGAATATTCATTTTATAAAGCCCTTTGGTGATATAGAGTGTGTCATTTCAGGGCCCACCACAGAGGTAAAACTGTGACTCAAGAGGCACACCCAGATGACAATTAGCATTGTTTCCCTCACAAATTGACCAAACTTACTGGTGAGGTCCTAACTTTCATAAGAGGATACAATACACTGTTAGAATATTGACGGTCAAATGTGAATCTGGCCAAAGATTGGATGGTGAGTTATATCTGTACCAAGCTTACAGGCCCAGTGATGACTCTTATACCTGCACCCAGCCAATAAGAGAGCTGTTGACTCTCATAGGTAGGCTTAAGCCAAAAAATAAAGTCCTGGGTTTTCTACTTTAAAAAAATAATAATAACAGGCGATTACCACATGCACACATATTGTGTAAAGCCCTCAGATGGTACAGTGAGTGTCTTAATAGGACCCAGCACAATGCTGAGATTGTGACTATTATATGAACACCCAGCTGACTGTTACGATTGTCACCCATACACATGGACAGAGTAGAATAGTGAGTTCCTGAGCCTCACTGACAGACATAGCCCACTGTTGGAATTGTGCCTGTCACATGTGGATTGAGGCACAGGAGGGATGTTGACCCATTTCTGTACCCAGATCACAGGAACATAAATGGTTCTCATACCTGGACCCAACAAACAGGAGAGATGTTGATGGTCATGCCTGGTCTTAGGGCAATGGGCATAATCATATATTTGAGGTTGTAACATATACCTGGGAAGGCACAAAAATCTCAAAGCGGATTGTGCACATATGCCATATGAAACCATCAGGTGGCACAGACAGTGTCATAACAGGGACCAGCAAACAGGTGAGATTGTGACTCTCATATGCACACCCGGCTGACAGTAAGAATTCTCACCCTCCCACAAAAACCCAGTCTCCTTATGACATTCTGAATCTCACACTCAGAGGCAGTCAAAAGTTGGAATTGTGACTCATACGTGGATGCAGCCCACAGGTAGGATGGTGACTCTCACACCAAGATTCAGCACCCCTGTGAGGCTGTGACTCCCCTACTGGGATAACGTCTGCAAGAGGAGTTCAGATTCTCAGGCACAGATCAAGTCCACTGTTGAGGTTGTGACTTGAGTACTTCAACGCAACTCACAAGATACGTTGAGTTTCATAAGTGAAGCTAGGACATCAGTGGGATTTTGAGTCTTATCCCTAAACATTTCTTGAGGTGTCATTGTGACATATACCTTTTCCCAGCAGCTGGTTAATTTTACTTTCTTGCCTGGGCCCCGTGTACAGTTGAAATTGTCACATATACCTGGACCATGCACTTTATTTATGTGCCTCTTCAGCATGAGCCCTGCCCTCAGAGGAAATTGTGATATATCTCTGGGGACATCCTCAAAGTGAAGTGACTCTTCTTTCCTACCTGGGCCCCGCCCTTAGTTAAGATTGTGACATATCACTGGGCCCTTAATGCAAATGATGTAACTTCTGTGCCTGGGTTCTAATTAGAGAAGGCATTGTGAAATATCTCTGGGCCCATCACCTAGGCGATGTAACTCTGCCTTCCTGCCTGAACCTGCCCCCAAGAGGCATTGTGACATATCACCAGGCCCAGCTCCCAGGTGTCCTGCCTTGGCCCTGCCCACAGAGGGCAATGTGACACATTGCTATTTCCAGCACCTAGGTCATAAGACCCTCCTGAATTGCCCCTGCTCCCAGGGGGGACTTTGACCTCTCATTGAGCCAATCAACTAGGTGATGGGGCTCTCCTCTGCTGCCCAGATCCTGGCTAAAGTGGCAATTGTGACATATCTGTGGCCAGCATCCAGGTGATGTGACTCTGGCGTCTTGTCTCTCCCCACAGTTGGAACTGTGAAATATACATGAGCACAGCTTACAGGTGGGATGATGACTCATACCTGAAAACACTGTGACTCTTGTAGTTAGTCTTAGGGCAACAATGAAGGTCCTGGTTCTTCAACTTTAGGGTGGTCATGGTGTGTTTTGACCATCGTGCACATTGTATAAAGACATCAAGTGCTACAAAAAATGCCATAATGTAGTTCATCACACAGGTGAATTTGTGCCAGTTGTATGCACACCCAGTCAAAAGTAAGGATTGTAACCCTCCGACATGAATAGAGCCCAGTGTTGAGATTCTGAATCACATGCCAAGAGGCCATAAATTTGGAATTGTGAACCTCATGAGGCAATCCAATCCACAGATGGGATGATAACTCCAAGACCAGGATTTAGAACACGTGGGGACTGTAATTCCCCTATTAAAACACAGTCTTCAGGTGAGCTTTGGGCTCTCGTGCACTGATTCACTCCACTGTTGTGACTAACTTGCATACTTGGACTCCACCCACAAGAGGGTTTGACTCTAATACCTTTAGCTGGAAAAAGTCCAGGATTGTGAATTTCTCTTGTTGACTGGGCCCAGGTATAAGCTTGATTGCTGTGCCTGTGAGATGGGTTCAAAAGTGAGTCACTGTCTCACCTGTGGCTGCATCTATGTATGACAGTTACAATTCCAAGTCTGAATTGCATTTGCACGTGAGATTTAGGACCTCACCACTGAGTACTGTCCATGTTTGAGGGTTACAATTTTAACTGTCAGCTGGATGTACGTATGAGAGTCACAACCTCACCTTTGTGCAGGTCCTGTTATGACATCTCTGTACCACCTGAGGGCTTTATACAATGTGCTTTGGTGTCATAATACACTATGACGTTTGTTAAAGTAGGAGACCCAGGTCCATGCCTGTTGCCCTAATCCTAGCTATGAGGGTCAAAATCTC